CGGGAAAAGTAGGCCGACCGCCATCTTTGATTTGACATTTTACCGCCAATGATGGTTAAAGCACAAGAACTATTTATTTATTATAATAATTCTAAACATACAAAATCTTAGCATACAATGACAGCGGCGCATGATTACTTTTCATATTATTGTCAATCATAGTTGACAGTTGTAGGTCGGCGCCAAGTGGTCATTGTCTATTGGCCATAGATTATGTCAAGATGTAAATGTTTTGTAAACTTTCGTCGCGCCAGTCACTTGTTATGTCTTAAAATTGTGTCGTGGATTATTCCTCGTGCTGTAATTGACTAAGAAGACTTAATTCTAAGGTCATCAATATTAGAAATGTTTCAAACATTTTCCGTCAAAAATCGCGCATACTTGACCGATTTTTCGCAGTCACATTGAGTAGTAAGAAGACCCAATTAAACAAATCGGGATCGGGTTATTTTGGGGCGGCCTCTGTCGGTCGGAGCGATAATGCTTTGGTGTCAAGGTTCCGTTTCGTAATACGTTGGTCTTTGTTATATGTGTCAAGGCCCGCGGCTTTTCCCGGTTCGTCATATTTGTTATTATAAAAAATAGCTAATGTTAAAATATCTTTCAGAATTATCTTATTATTCACTTACAGTCGACCTTGCTCCACACCTGCTAATTGCTAGATTATTAAGAAACACTTAACCTATTTTCCTGTGCTACATTTAACTGTATTAGCTACTTATGCAATGTGAGTTCACTTCTAGGAAGTATTGTAAACAGTTAAATCCAATGGACTGACGATTTTCCTATCAGTTACGTTTGTTTATCTAATGTTTACAGAATTATTAGTAGTAAAACAGATAGCGAGTCATTGGAAATACCATCAACAAATTCTTTGAAATTGTTTTTGCTATTGTAATATTTATTGGTTTTATTATTACTTTAGCTACTGCTATTATGTCAATTATTGGGTGTGCTATTTAATAATTACTTGACAAACGTTGGGGACCTCAAAAAATAAAGTGACGCGTATTGTTCCACTTAAACGCAATTGGTAGTACACTCATATACTCATCACTAAGTAGGTTAGTTACGCGAGCGAGATAAAAAAATAGGTCAAGTTATCTTTGGTTGTCCTCGTACCAGTGAAATTATCGCTGATATAATTGTGCGTAAAAATATTTATATAACGCAATTTAAATTATATACTAATATGTAATTATGATATGTAAAAAATAATAGTAATTCCAAAGACGATAGAGGAATCGATCATTGTTACTGTGGTGATGAATGTAACAGATAATGCTAGATTTGCCTGGATTTAGCTGATAATATCTATAGTTAACCACTTTGTAAGATCTACGTTAGTACTCTCTTTTGCTTACATAAAGTATTAAATGTATATTATATAATAAGAAAACGAAATATACTTTTGAGAGACGCGTAAAGTCAAAATATGTTTGTTTAAAGAAAAACGTCTTAATACAATTGTTTTCTACCGTAGAATATTACTATATTAGCATCATGACATTGAATGACATCACCATAACCAAGAACTCAACGCAAACTACGTCATGGTGCCTACATTAGTTATTTTGACGATTTAGTTAACAATATCCGTATCATCCATATATCACTGACATAACGATAACAATATCTTTTTTGTTTAGACCATAAGTGACCAGTTTCAGGTTGTTCCAATTTATATTTTTTAATTTGTTATAAAATATATAATAGAATTAATGAGAACATTTTTTAAAATTTGTATTTGGAACAGCGAATCGTTCTCATTTTATCATAATTAATTCATTATCAATAGCATAATTGGTATTACGTGTTATGTTTTATAAACCAGGGCCTTCCAGCCAGCCAGGAATATCACGTGCATCATGAAAATCAAAACACAATTACGATGCACGATCAACTAAATGCACGAGCTGTGACCTTTGCTCAAATCTTCCGGTAAACCTTGCTATGTAGTTCCTGTTGTATTACATCAGTGTACTTTAAATGCATTTTGTATTTTGTTACCGCACTCTATTTATTATATCTGTTGTATTACAAGTCTTTGTTGCAAGACCTAATATTAAGATAGCATGATCCGGAAATAAACGTTAAATTGATGTAATTATAACTTTATTAGGAGATTAGAAATGTCAGCTCTTCACTTACCAAGTCTGGCACAAAAAATCTTAGATAAAAACTGTTATAAATAAATGCAATGAACGCTTTTTGCCATAAACAAAAAACTGTCTTTATTTGATGATAATACGCATTATTATAATGTACGTAAGCAGTTGTAACTCTATAAATACCCTCACAGTGCTGTTTTTTAGAAACGCACATGACTCATAGTTATTGATAAGCTATCTGCCCTAGAATAATCTAGTTCATAGCGTTGCAGCGTATTGCGCAACCCACCCTGGGACAGTTGCGTCATACATCTACACGGCAAACTGACCTTTACTGACCGATCGATCCTGCACCGACCGTTTTAAACTTAGAACTGCCCGGCTATTGTTTGATTGAACAAACAATTTGTAAATCGAACGAGTCCGTATAAACAGATCTTGGAGTTCGTTGATTTCAAATTTAAAATTGGAATTCATTTGTTTAAGAAATTATCATGTTCAATTCAATTTAAAAAAATTATTAGACATGTATAATTTTGCGGAATTAAGATGAGTAATACCGGAAGTATGTAATGATGAAATCATTTGTAGAGTAATTTGTATACTTTACTACGCTATGACTCATGTAAGGTTAAATCTTTTGTAGTAATTATATTTTATAAATCTTACAGATATTAATAAAATGAAATTATACGTATATTGTGATGAAAGTACTGAAGTGGCATAGAGAACTCAATCATTCATAACAGTAACTGAATAATGAATACATAAATTATGAAATAATTGACAAATGACACTTGTGTAAATATTAGTTTTACATTGATACCAATTATGATAAGAAACAAGGAATTTAATAACTCTGTGTCGATGACAATCTATAAAACTATAGCACCGATTTTAAAAATTCTTTCATAAAATACATATTATAATTATGTTTTTTTAAACTTCGACGGAAGCGAACTAGCGACTGTTATTGAAAAAGTTTTATCTATATAACTATAAATTCTGAAGTAGCAAATCGGTTTAATTTTAAATTAAAATAACAAATGTTACATGAATTATAATATTAATTCGTGTCGAATAAGTGCAAGTAATGAAATTGTAGAAGAAACACTAGCGAAAATCGTCATACTTAATCCGTCACATTTAAATGATTTACTGCAGATTTGCTGTAAAATAAATTTGGCAACTTACTAAAAATATACGTCAAAATGTTGATAGAATATAAAAAGAAACATTAATTCAGTTTCCGCACATCCGCGGGCGAATGCACGCTGGATTGGAACCTTGAACCAGTTGTGTAAGCGGCTCACAATGGCTTACGACAGAACCGCGGTACCAGGCGCGCTGCTTACGACACCACGCTAGGTTAACTATTACTTGCAATACACCAATTAACTGTTCGAAATTTGAATTTTGTGCACTGTTTTCGATTACAAACTTTTTTTCAATTTAAGTTATAAATTTGATATTTTTATTTTCTGTACTGCCAGTAGCTGTTTAATGACATTGCAATTTCCATATTTAAAATTGCCAAAGTCTACTCCATTTTTATCTTTGATTATGTTATTGAAAAGAAATGTCTCGAAAGTAATACAGTCTAGCAACTATTAGAAATCATACAATAAGGAATAAATCGTGATCAACATTGATATCTTTATCGTATATTGACTGTCTGTCTCCGTGACATAACATTAATTTGATAACATTATTATGGTTAACTTATCAGATACCGAATCGCAGTTCAATATTTTTTCTATAAATATAATCCAACAATATTGAGATACGAAACGTTTCAGACGTAACAGCATAATTATAAACAATCAAACTACATACGCAAAATTTGTTACTTAAATAAAAAAATGTTCGATAGTAAATATACTATAAAACTTGTAAACAGTTGTACGAAAACATAGTCTGAGGAAGCTGAAGCGCAAACAAATTATTGTAAACAAGGAAAATATGTTCAATACTCGGGTTTATCAGCGAGATCGTTTACGCTATATGCTTTTAGGAAATTGTGGGTAGTAGATACATTTTTGGCAACAACTATTAGAGGATGACTAACATTTTTTTAGAGAGTCATTGACTCGCGAGATAAATATTTCTATGAATTATGCTTCATCATATATCATAGTCATATTCTTAGCCTTTCATTGTCAACTGCTGAACATAGATAGATACATAATTTAATTTAAGAACATTTTGTTTTCAATTTAAGTCTTACAATAAAATAGAGTACCAATCTTCACCTCATCATAAAGAGGCACGCAAGTTACAATTTGAGTTAAAGATTTACAAAATAATAAGATTTCGCAAAGAAAAAGAATTCTATTACATTCTTTTATATAAGAAAATGAAAATTATATACATTATTCAGTTTTAAAAGTAAATCCTAAATTCATTTATTTAATTTTAAAAAATATGTTTTCATTTTATTGTAATTTCAATTTTGGAATTGCTTGACTTGCTGATGAATATTTAAAATTGGAATATTTTATTGCTCAGCAAATAAAACCTGTTGATCAAAAAGTTACGTTCTATATTTTTATCTTTGAAGAAAAAATATTCTGATCTATGGTAACTATTTAATTTTTATATTATTTAATTATATAATTTTAAAATATGAAATTTTACTTTGATGACAGTCGATGTAAAAAGTTTTGAATAATTTATTAACAACAATAAATTAAGAAATTATTTTATTCTTCATCAATTTATTTTTAAATCGTAAATTGTATCTTATGTAATTATAATGTCTTATTGGAATTTAAAGAAGGTAGTTACAATATTTTTTTAGAGAAGTTTTTAATTAATTTAACAATTATTTTTTCAATTCTTAAAATATATCTAATTTTAAAAATAAAATTACATGTGAAATATACTTACAAAAATATTTGCGGTGTTAATGTACTCCTTTTCGGGAATTATCCAAAAGGGGGGTACAATGTCATAATCCACATAAAACAGCAATACACAAAATCGTCTGCTTCCAAGTTCACAATAATATTGTTATAATAAATAAAATGTTTCACTCCCACTTTTCACGTCCTTAATGAATATTTTCCACAAACACAATATTGTTATGACGAAATATCCAAAGGTGGTGCGTAGTACTCTTACTAGTTGGACACGACTGTTCACAACGAGGTGTAGAGTGCGACTGAATTTTGTAGTGGGGTCGGGCGACTCGCGGGCTGCAATACACACACTAGCGTATATTTTCGCGAGTGTGAGTGGCGTTCGTTTGTGTGCTCGCTTTACGTTTGTGTGCGAATATTTACGTAACTTGCTCTGACTCTGTGTAATCACACTTCAGTCTGAGCTATTGAGTCAATGTGTCCGATTTTTTTAGCTAATTCGCGATTGAGTCATGTGTTTGTGGCGCGCTTTTGTGTTTCTACGAAATCTGTAGCCGATTGATAAGCCCGTTATTTGGGCAGGTTTGGGTAATTTTTAATGGCGTAATAAATGGTCCAGTGTAGTCGATTTATTATTCGGAATTATTGTTTAACACCAATGTCGATTGCGTGAAATTGCGTGTAAATGTTAGTAATGCTCATGGGTGGAAATAGGTATTGCACTTACTACGTGTTATAAATAATATGAAATTTCATTTTTAAATTTCGAACATCTGATATTCGTCTCCGTTATGTACCTATTTGGTTCTAAATTAAATAGGCAATAACATGTTGGTTTTTGATACAGACCTACTACCTTTTTCATAAATAAGTAATTTATGATACACAAGACATGTAGTTATTTTATTATTTTTATTACCTTATTATTAGAAAATTGTGTAAGGAAATTACAGGATAAGAGGCATGACATGACATATTAGTCTTACGGAATGACATGATGAGCGGTACTATGGGGTCACACGATAACGTGACGTGATGTTTGTGGCGTCATTTATACAGTCGACGATTACCATTTACCATCAGATGGGTCGTCAGCTTGTTTACCGGTCCAATTACATTAAAAAAAAAACTACATTGAATATTTACGATCGTATAGAGTCACGAACTATACAATCATAGATGTGCCCGCGGTTTCATCCGCGGGAAATTTTATTTATTTGAGATTATTTGCGTGTAATTTATTATTGTTATACTCTTATATAAGCTATATTATTGTAGTATGTTCATCCATATGTATATACATTATATATAATTTTTGCGTTTATAATATTAGTAAGATAGGCAACATAATATGCTACGATAAACGGCTACAATTGTATTATAAAATTTGATTTATAATGGACGCTTCATACGAATTCAAATTAAAAACTATTTTGATATCCATTAAAAAAAACTGATTCGCACTCTATTTTTGTAACAATTATGTTATAAAAAAAATTGTTTATTTATATTATTCTTTATTTATTATTTATATTAGCTCACTGAATGTTGCATAAACTTTGGAAATTCTTGTGCATAACCGTACATATATGTAGATGCGGGTATATTATGCAGAATTTCTACATGTAAATAATTATCTTATCTACATCATTATTTACACGTAGAAAACGTACTTATTACTAAAATAGATAATCTACTATGTAATTGAGAACATACTTATTCCAAAGTGAATATTTAGTAATGAAAATATACTACTTAAACAGTCCTGAAAACCGTTGTAGTATATTTCAGGTGAGTTCACTAAGATGCTATCTGATCTGACTTCATCCTTATTCCATTCCATCTTACACTGTAATCACTCTATTGTCATTAATTAATTAATTTTTTTTTTATGTTACTGTAATGGCAAACATGCTGACGACACACTTAATGGTAAGTGGTCACATACTGCAGACGTCAACACATGGAAAAAGAAAAAAGGAGAAAAACATGACGCTAATGTAACCCATGCGTTATTTTCTGACGGCTAAAATATCATGCTCACCTAATACCTGTTATTTCACTACCTCATCTCACCCTTTAAACCAAATTTCTGACGAGACAAATTGTTTGATAGCAGAAATAGGCGAGATGACACCAGTGCAGTTTGATTCCCGTCCAGTTCAAACGGGGATTGAAATTACGACGGCCTGAGCCGAGTCCGAACCCCTAGCAGTGCCCTCAGACTAATGTCGTATCAGGCAGGAGTTAGCTTTCAACCGCTCCATTAGTCCCTCCGCGGGTTTGAAGTGCCATCTGCACTCGCCCTGTATCGTCCGGTGAAGCTGTAAGGTCAGCTGCGGCCGGTATTAGAATAGTTCGCAAATATTTGTTAATTCTAGTTATTAGATTATATATTCTAGAAATTAATTAAAGTCTACTTCGTAATTTTATTACGAAAGTCTTCTTTAAGGTATAGATGTAAATTAACTTATATGTTCCATTTCAGAAATTAGTATTTACAGCGAAACAAAAATGTATGTTTTAAAAATACCCGATGTACCACATTTTATGCTATAAAATTTCATTTGAAGAATTTCGGAGGTGTCTCCATGACGGGGCAGTGACGTAGTAGCACTCAAGTTGTCTGTTTATCTATTTATCACTGATGTTTCGTTTAAAAGGGGCGAGACAACTGACGTCAATATGCGTCTTATTTCTGATTGTCTATTTCCTTTGTGATATTGATAAGTACATGTATTTTTGTATGATACAGTAACGTAAAATGTACTTGTATTATGATAATAAAGAACAACTAGTGTATGGTAAAATGGATTAAAAAAATGAATTAGTGATTCCTATGCAAGATTATTGGAAATTGTAACGTAAATACTATGCTAATAAGTATGTTCTTAAACAAACCAAGGGCGAGTCTACTGGTGTTTCACGTAGAGTTAGATTACTGGCTCTACGTGAAATTGAATTGACACACAAATATTATTTTTCTTTTTCAGCTGATCTTTTGAGTTTTTGCATTTTCTTTTCGAATATACCACTTCTATGGTATAATTGTGATCAGAGCAAAAAAAAAAACAATCACACCGATCACGCCGTTTTTGCCTTTGTACTGATTTAGTAATTTTATTTTTCAGCGAGCCTATGCATAGATATAAACAATAAATAACTAAATAACCCTGAACAGTTAATACAGCACCATATAATCCCACTGTAAGTAGAGATTTTTTTTGTAAATAAATACTTATGAATCAAATGCTTGCACCGTGCGAGGAATTGAACCCGCGACCATCGGAAAGCGGTGTGCTAAACTGCTATATAGACCACCGCGACTGTTAGTATATATACATATATGTATATGTGTAGGTATATATTGTAATTTTAACAAGATAATCATAAAGCAATTGATTTACATATAGCACATATATATATATACATATACATATACAAATGTTCTAGTAATAATATAGGTATATTAAAACAATCACGTGTCAAAAATGTAGGTGCAAAGCCAAGGACTCCCATACAATTTGCATGTGATGCTGTGTCGCGACTAATGTATTATTTATGAAATACAATAGATTCAGGACCGAAGACCACAGACTTCGTGCACCATAGAGTACTGTGAGAGGTAATATATTTTTGTAGGTCATTTCAAACCTAAGTTAAATATAAGCATTTTGATGTTGGCAAATACACCAAGTGCCAAGCCATTACAAAAGAAAAAAAGTATAAGCATGATACTGTAGAGAGAGTGCCTATTACATTATCAAATACAAGATGGTACAGCGAGGTGGATATTTTGTTATTGTAATGTAGGTATAATAGTTTTTTTTAATACGATGCGGGCAGTTACGATGTTTTTTGTCTGAGAATAAATATATCATGGTACATACGAGTTTTGCTGTTATCTTTAGTTCAATATGTAATAACTATATTGTGGGACAATTTACTGAAAAAATAAAATTACCTAGTCTATATTTCCAATTTTTTATAATAAAAATCTTTTTTTGTACTTAATACCAAGTACAATATATCCCAAACCACTACTAATATAAACACTTATACATTTTGTTGTAAATACATATGTAATATACATATTACACATAGATAGAATTTGGGTGAGAATCAGTTATTATATACCTATTAGGTCTTGTAGTACGTCTCCAAGTTAACTATATAAAATAAATAAATATATATATAAATCAACTTAAGATCAAAAGCTATATCAGTTTTTTATATGAATGGTATCCTCTTCCTTATACTCTGAGCATATCCCCGTGATTTTTTCTGCTTAGACTTCATTGAATAGAATGACAAGTAGCTTCTTTTTGCGGATGATAATGGGTTGGTGGAAGCGCTAGCTGTAGCGGTATATGCTGCGGAGCATCAGTGCAGGATGGATGGGATGAGGATAATATGAGGTCAGTCCATCATCCATAAAAAAACAAGAGATTAGTATTTATTTATTTATTGTATACTTTACATCAATGAATAGACGAAATATTTTAACAGGCTTGTGTCACAGGAATCAGTTATCTTTAAGTAAGAAACTTTAACTTAAAACAGGCTCCAGCTCAAGTAGGTACAAAATTAATCAATATTACATCGGAAAGTAATTTTAAACAATAATAAAAAAAAATGCAGTATAAGTCAAATGATTTTGACTTTGATTGTAATTTCGAGTCCCTGACTGACCTTGGTCAGTTGTAAATTCTTATGTAAGCCACCGTGTGTCAGGACAGACGGATGTTACATATATGTCATAAATAAAACATTAATATTTTAAATCTCTATACATAAATGTATTTTAATGCCAATGGGAACCTAATGCATAGAAATCTATATATAATAACTAATTGTTGTCTGTACATACCATATATATATTAGAAAAACTATTATCGAGGGACATTAACAACGCAACAAAAACAATAATGATTTTCATATATTTTGGTATGTTAGTACGTACATGTTAATTTATCTAAATCTACTGTTATGCATCTAGATTTACATATGTACGTTTAGATTTATTGTTACATTATTGTATATATTTATATGTATGAATACCATCATCGTGGCACCTCGTCACGGCATATATCCTGACCGGAAATCTATTTGGCACCAGAATTAATAATCAAAATTGTAATTGTAATTTTTGTGTTGTATATTTTATGTGTATCAAATAAACACATTTTCTTCTAATTTCAGAAACGGCTTAACTGTTTTGGGTGTAGTTTTCATTAATGTACAATTTTCACTTAAAATCGAATGATTATTTTATTCCATTCAGTTCACAA